TAACTAAGAATAATTCATTTGCAGAGGTACCTTATTTAAGTATTATCCCTGTCTCTTATACACATCTAGATGTGTATAAGAGACAGGCCATCTTGTCAGCAATCTAGTTGTTTAATCTATAGCTCTATGGATAAAAAGTAATTGTAACTCAGAGAGGGCGTCCTAGTTGTTATTATGGCGGTTGTTCAAGAATGTGTACGCAGATATAAAATGTTGAAGTTCAGGGGCGGATTGCTATAAAACGGTCTTAACTGGCAGTCTTAACTCCTAGAATAAAGCCGGCTTTATCACTTACACGGTCTTAAAGTCAATCCTCTTAAGCAACTCTCACATTATCGCGACCAAGAGGTGACGGAACTAGGGGGTGCTGTGTTATGGAGTGTGACGGGAAATGGTCTGCAGTCAGTTGGTTGTTACCATGCGCCAGTGATGTTGGAGTATATTGTACAGCAATATGAAACTATTATGTAGGCCTAATGAATGAATAAATTTCGGAGTTTGTCGGGTAGTGAAATGATTATTTCACATTTTAAGTGCTCCCTAAATTCATAAGTGTAAGCTAAATTACGGTGATTAATTTAATTAGCGAAGATATGGAGACAATTATTTCGAATCCCTCTTTCTAAGAGGGGGATGCAAATGATGCTTTGTAAAAATGAGTACGCCGCGGTACTCATTTTCACAAAGAAATACACACAACTGGTTAGCTAACAATTATGTCAATGTTACATGGGAAGGAAGATGCAATCACGTTGTTACCTAGCAAACGTCTGTACTGTATGGGGGAGGGGCTCCTGATGTACTGTGTAGCGGGGGACGATGAGGCATAAGACTAGGCCTAGGCCTAACTAAGACAGTGGAATTATATGTGATAGAAAGTTCACTTTCGGAAAAAATGAATTAAAAAAAGAAAACAATAATAACTAAGAATAATTCATTTGCAGAGGTACCTTATTTAAGTATTATACAATGCATCTAACAATGTGGCTCTTGTAGCACTGGCTTGGGCAAGGCATCCATGTGCAAAGCAGTGGTGTTTGTTCATGAAAAAAGCACGCCGGGAAAGTTTGCCTTACTAGGAAAAGGTGACGTATCTACCTTATGACGTATGCATGCTAACTAACGTGAGAGTGACGTCACCAAAAAATGAATATTTTCTATCATAACCAAAATATTAATAACTACAAAGTTTCTGGGCGTAAATTCCCTTAATATGAATGAAGGGTTGCTCAATACTATCACGACCTGGCCACGACAGTGTCGGTCGTGTACCGATAGCAGTGTAGGTCTTGATAGTGTGAGAGTAGCTTAAGGCCATTGCTATAAAACAGTCTTCCCTAAGACTGCTTTGAGTATTGAAACGCAAACAAGCATTTCTGGTAACGTAAGATTTGGAGCGACGTCATGCGTGCTCGACGCACGCCGCAAATTTATCGAAATGAACGTAAATAGACGAGTAGGGCACCCTACACTGCTTTGTTACAGAATTTGCCCTCAGAAATCGCGGAGATTATAAGGTCTTTTGCTACGTTCAGACCTGAGAGGCCGTGACGCCAGGCTTATCTAACCGACGACGGGTGTCCGTCATTTTATGGAATAACTAGAGAGATGTCGATAATGGGCGATTAACGAACGCTAGCGTAAGAATTCGTGCGAAATATTCGTATTCGTAATGGCGCATATTATATATTTTCTGTTTACGCATAGTCTTATGTTGATTTGTCAAATCCTGGCCAAGTTCAAAATCATTGATGCGTCACTCAAGGAGCTGATGAATTACTTTGACTCACCATAAACTGCATGTCCGAAGCTTCTGGAGAAACCTGTGACCGTAGAGCATTGTGTTTGGCAACAATAGACTGCGATTCGGCTGCCGAAAATCCAGTGGAACGCCTGACCCTGGAATGTCGCTCACCTGATGATTTTAGGTTTACGGTCTCGTCTGTACCTTTATCATTGGTCATCCGATTGTCGGTAACACCGACTGGTGTTCTGATGAAATTGCCTTCAAGTAGGCCTTTCACTTCAGATAGGCCTATTATGTAGAGTGTGACGAATGCAATTATACATTTGAATATTCCCATCCTAAAAGGTCGAAAATTAAAATATAAGAATACGTATTATGTGTTATTACATCAACCGTCATATGCATTTTAACTCTTTCACTGCTGCAGCTTAATAACCCCACTCCCCTTGTTATGTGCCTTTTTTGGGGGGGGAAAAAAGTGATTTTGAAACTAATGCCTAAACACTACTAAAAGAGGATATTTTGCAATTATTTGTGTGTGTTGAAGAGGGCAGGAGGTTGGCCTGTGGAGGAATAATTGAAATTTGGTAGTTTGCATATCATTAGGGGATCATGTGGCCTCATAGCGACCATTATTAGATTTACCTATTTTTTTTCTAAAATTCTAAAAAAAAAAAAAAAAAAAAATTTCTCCAAGAAATTATTGTGATGCTGTTTTTTTGGAAATATTTGTAACAATAAGGATTTTCTTTTCATGAAGTAAAACTGCTTGACTGCAAACACTCTATTGTTAAAATCACCCGCATCATCGTCAGATTCACCGCCAGAACCTACAGTACAGACACAGCAATGTTACCTTGGCACTGTGTAGGTTCCCTAGGTAAGTGATAAGAAAAAAAAAACATGTCTTTATCTGTATATTTTTTAGAAGGAAAAGAAAAAGAAAGGAATGGTAAGTATATATCTAAGGAATGGACGACCGCACAATTCTCTTTAAATGGTTAAATTAGTTTGAATATTTCAAAAATAATGGATATTTTTTTCTAAATTAAGATTTATTCACAACATAATATAATATAATACAACATAATTTAATATAATATAATATAATATAAGAATAACATGAGATGTAATATGCCAACTAGATTTCCAAGTCAATGGCTGCCAATAATTGAAATATTTTCAGTGTCTAAATTATTATTATTATTATTATTATTATTATTATTATTATTTTTATTATCCTTGATACTTCTAGTATGCAACATTATTTTTGATAAATAAATATTATAATGTAAATACGCTTTTTAAAACACCTCTCTTAAATACATGTATTGATTGGAAGTGTACCATAGCAATACTACGTTATAGGTCTAAATGTGTTAATGTCAAAAGGCAAAATACTAAAATAGCAACAATGCTGTGAAATAATGTTTGCCTATCTGACGTGTTCTAACATCATTTCCTATTATTTCTCCTGACAAAAACACGCCATCCGAATAGCATTGCAATACTTACTGCTACTATAGGGGACCGAATATTCATCACTAGCCGCCAATTGCAAGATGCAAGATCGGTGGTCTAGTGGTTAAGACATCAGGCTAGTTACTTGGAGGTCGTGGGCTCGATTATAACCCGAATTATTTTTATAAAAAAAATATTTCTAAACTATGTATTAGATTAGGCCTACTACTACAGAACATCATCAAAAATGGTCTATGCTATTTAAAAATGGTAATTTTTCCCAGGGCCTTCAGATTCTAATCCCGACCCCGACCAGAGGTCCTCGTAGGCCAATTGGCCCCCAGCCTCAGACCACTTTAAATTCACGTGGCTACGTGTACGAATGACTGAAATTGTGAATTGCTTTCAAAAGAAAGAAATCGAGCAAGCTAAATAATGCTGCTTATTTATTAACTGAAACTAGTTAGACATAGCAATGTCATCATGCATCAGTAGTTGAGGCTACTTGACAGACTGAGTCCCTTTTCGTAGATTCGGGTTCTTCATGCGGTCTGCTTCCACCAATTGGAAGACGTTTTGATAGGGTTTTTCTGTGTGAGCTGATACCAGAAAGTCACAACTCAATTTCCCCCCACGTTTTAACATTGACCAAAGATATTTTGAATGAATCTGCTTCTGGCCATGCCGCAACGTCAGTGTGGAGGAAACTTAATTTAAGCTGCAATCCTCTGAAGAAGAACCATAAGTCTTCAGTCACGAAATCGGCAAGTTTGTATTGGAGGCTGAATTGCACAGGAAATTGATTGTGGTTTTCCAAACACCATTCCATACCTGTGACGAGGGGTATTATCCCCTGTTTCTGGTTTTGTGTTCAGGAGTTCTTGCCTCTCGACAGACGTGACCTTACTGCTGAACAGAGCAAGTGGTACTAGCAACAAGTACAATAAGTGTCTATACAAGGCCTTCATAGCACTTTTGGCCACAACCTGATTTACTTGCTAATACTTGAGCAGGTTCTCGTAGAGAACTAGATCATTCCAAGGCATCAACACTGCAGCTGCTTTGACCCACCAAGGGCAGTAGATCAGGATCACAAATTGGACGAAGTTTGTGACTTTCGACACTTGATGCTTCATGGTAATTGTGCCTAGTGGGAGCTCCTGAATTTGTTTTTCGAATAAACAAATTTTAATGCAGTACAGCAACTTCACCATCCATCTGGCTTTGTGGAGGGCACTAGGTCTGTCTCTTATACACATCTAGATGTGTATAAGAGACAGACTATAGGGGACCGAATATTCATCACTAGCCGCCAATTGCAAGATGCAAGATCGGTGGTCTAGTGGTTAAGACATCAGGCTAGTTACTTGGAGGTCGTGGGCTCGATTATAACCCGAATTATTTTTATAAAAAAAATATTTCTAAACTATGTATTAGATTAGGCCTACTACTACAGAACATCATCAAAAATGGTCTATGCTATTTAAAAATGGTAATTTTTCCCAGGGCCTTCAGATTCTAATCCCGACCCCGACCAGAGGTCCTCGTAGGCCAATTGGCCCCCAGCCTCAGACCACTTTAAATTCACGTGGCTACGTGTACGAATGACTGAAATTGTGAATTGCTTTCAAAAGAAAGAAATCGAGCAAGCTAAATAATGCTGCTTATTTATTAACTGAAACTAGTTAGACATAGCAATGTCATCATGCATCAGTAGTTGAGCAGTTTTGTAGATTCGGGTTCTTCATGCGGTCCACTTCCACCACTTGGAAGACGTTTTGATAGTGTTTTTCTGTAACGTCTGCAATCACATCTAATATTTACAACCTCTAACCAACGTCGGGCCAACGGTTTTAACCAACCTCCATTTCAAACGTTTACCGACGTCGGGCCAACAACGTACTGTGACGTTGAGACGACGTCTTCAATCACATCTAATATTTACAACCTCTAGCCAACGTCGGGCCAACGGTAGTACCCAACCATCTTTTTAGTAGTTTGCCGACGTCGGGCCAGTAACAAATCGTGACGTTGTACCAACGTCGGTAGTCAGACTGAATATTTACGACGGCTTACCAACGTTGGGACGACATCGGAAAATCGACAAATATATTCATACGTTGGGCCAACGTGAAATTCCAATGTTGGTTTGACGTTACTTCTCCGACCAAATTTTGCAACCAAACACCAACGTCGTACCAACGTCAGATATCCGACCCCGACGCTTACCGACGCTTGCCAACGTTTACCAACGTTGGGCCAACGTCGCTTTGCTAGCTGGGGACACTTCTTAAGCTTTCAGTACACAATTCCGAGACAAAATCTTGTGAAACATCAGGAAACGTGACAACACTGAAGCGACTGAGAGGCTGATAGGTATGATGATAAACGAGATCCAAATTTTTTCTAAAGCAAGTGAATATTATCAGGTCAGGGGATTTAGACGTTTCGATTTTTAAGTCCTCAAACACGTGTGATCACCATAATGATGTAGACATCCTAATCAAAGCAGCGCACAATGTAGGCTCTCCTTAATCTGGATGCATGCTCCAGAACCCCCCCCCCCCAGTCGCCCCCCCTAAAAAATCACAGTCAAGTAGTTAAAAATCACCTAAAATCACCTTATTTAGCGAATTAGCGCCCCTCAACTGATCATCGAGCCCCCACTTCACCTTCGCGCCCCCATCAGCAACCCCCCGACCATTTCAAGACTTTTAGATTCGCCGCTGGTCTCACATGCTTTGCGCTGAGATATGAGAGGTATGTTCCCTTTTCGTAGAAAGGTTTTATCTTGCTCAAGATTAACTTTGCACTGTCCCATTTAGGTCGCTTGACAGACAAATCTTCATTCGCATGGAACATCATGCAGCGTAACACTTGCTTAGCAGTAGGCAAGCGCGAACCAGCAATCTTGGATCGTTATGCTTGGACCAAGTCCATAACACATCTCTAAAGAATGCCTTGTTACCCTGTGGCTGATAGTTTTCACATTATTGAGCACCATTTGTATATGTCTTATTCCATTTTCCCTGAATATTGTGTCAAAATTACAATAGCGTCTTTGGTGTCTGTTTATTGAGATCAAAAAATTCTGAATAGTGTATATCAATCATCCAGTCAGCCGTACTGATTCCATAAGACTGTACCTACTGAGAATTTTACAGGCGACCGAGGCTAGGGCCATCTTTCTTGTCAGCAGCATATGACCCAAGGTACAATATTTAAATATTTTACCTTTTGTGTTATGTACCATCACTGGAGAGTATTGGAGTTTAGTATTCATCTCCGTTGATACTCATGTCTCTCTTCTTTGTCGACTCAATTGGTCAAATATAAACAATTTTTAAGTTTCATTTTCGGGCATCAACATGCAAAAAAATTGAAAATGTTCGCACTTCAGTGCCAACCATGGTGGCGTTAAAAGTAGATTCCCTTTTTCAGAACCCCTTCATTAAATTCTGGACACACAATTAGGGTACAGTACATTCAACATTAACCCGAAGTTAATGCTCATTTATTACGATTTCGAAATGGCAATTGGTTAGGCTGATATTATCGATAATGTAAAATCGCAAAATTGCGCGTAGATGACGTCACGCATCACTGAGCGCACAACCTCCCCCCCACCCCGTGATACTGGCATGGTGCGCCATAATAGAATGTTCCTGACCGATTATAAAGTATTTGTAAAATAGTAACTCATAGTTTTAGTGGTAGATGTAAGATCAGAAAAAAAATATATTATACAAACATGGCATAATATTGTATTGGATTATCTAATTGAACAGTATTTATATTACCATGCTGATGCTGAACTGAACGTATACATTATTCTAAGCTAATAAACCAACATTAATTTTATTTATTGCATGGAAAGTCGATACCAAATTGTTGATATTTTTAAAATGAAAATATATTGCTTCGCTCACCAATGAAATACGCGTAATATTTTATTCTCTTAAAAAAAGTGAACCATATTGCATTTGCATAACCTTTTCTTTTATTTTTAAAATACTGAAATCTCGAGTGAGGTGATATTCGTTTGCCAGAGAAATGCTAATGCATATTATTTTTTCAAAAGATACTTGATAGCCACTATATTTTAAAAATAACTACATACACACTCCAAAAAAATACAATTTCTTTTAATGTACAAAAGTGCTATTTCCGCCTAGCGTCCGTAATTTTAGACATTAGCATAATATATCATGTTTTTAATGTTTTATTTTTATAAAGAAGTGTTCTTAAGAAGCCGATTTGCCGATGTCAAAATTATATTTTTCCCTGTGCTAACAACATTATTTGCCAGAATATAAAGCTCATGGCTGGTAGTAAAGTATAACAAAAATGGTGTCGTTAAATTCTCAGGGTTTTAGTCGTGGATGTTAGATCAGACAAAAAAGTACATATTTTTGTGTTTGCTTTTTAGATCAGAAACAGCTGTAGGCCTATATCTGACATTGTAAACATTTACTTTAACAAAACGTGATATGATATTGTATTGGATTTTCGTTTAATATCGATTTTGAACAATAATTATATTGATATGCTAATACTAAGCTACACGTTATTATAAGCCATTAAATCAACGTTATTGAGTTCAGTTAAAAGTTTTATAATTAATTTTCTACAGTGCATGGCAAGGCATCATTGTGTTTGTTTTTTCTCCACAATTCTGAAGTCAAGCAGATGTGTGATTGAATACAATTCGTTAATGAAGCCGACGCATTCTGTTTTTTGTTTGTTTTTTTTTTTTTGTTTTTTTTTTTTGTTCGCATTTACATTAGTTTTTAATTACACAACTTTCCGTTATTCATTTGTTAAGTAAAGAAACACAGGTGACTGACAAAATACCAACAATATGGTCCCACCGCGCTTGACAAGAACTTTATGTTAACAGGCACAGCATAGCGATTTTCTAGTGTTCATTTCAGTTCATATAGACTTGCCACAAGTCTCTTATTTTTTATTATTTTTTATAATATAATTAACTTTGCACTGTCCCATTTAGGTCGCTTGACAGACAAATCTTCATTCGCATGGAACATCATGCAGCGTAACACTTACTTAGCAGTAGGCAAGCGCTAACAAACAGTCTTGGATCGTTATGCTTGGACCAAGTCCATAAC